AATGATACTTTGATATTGCTATAATGAAACTAGTGTGTGTGAAAAATGAAACTGAAAAACAGAGCAATATTGCCAAATAAAACTGAAGTGTAATTAGAATGATACTTACTTCATTGACCACACTGCTACATGAACCATGGTCCACGGTAAAATTTGCCCTTACAATAAGGATCCGCTTAAAACATAATATCATGGTGTAAGGGACTTTAATATCAATACACTTAACTCCCTCCATCCCATTTTATGTGTCTGGTTCAGTTAACGAGACTTGACTAAAGTTATTTTTAATTCAATTTTTCATAATAAAGTTTAGTATTAGTATACAAAATTTATATATTTAGAAATTACACTAAAAGTACTATTAAACACAAAAAAAAAAAAAAAAAAAAATCAAATTTAAAAATAAGTAAAAATCATAAAAAAAATAAACAAGGAAAAAAGAGTTGATTTAACTAATAAATAGTAAGTAGGACAGATAAAATGAGACAGAGAGAGTATTAAATAACAATGGAGTAAAATTTAAGAAATGTTTTGGCACACGTGACAAGACTTTGATCATATAAAAAAATAATAAAAAAATAAAATTAAAAAAAAAAAAAAAAAGGAAAATGGCTAAAATTTGAGAGTAATATATGTTCTCCCACAACATCATGCTCTAGAAATAAGGTTAAATCTGAGACCGTTAGTTAAGTTGGATGAGAATCTTGACATATCATTTAGACTTCCATAAGTACTCTCGAACTCTTTACAAACATTTAATCGTATTGTATACTCCCATTGAAAAAAAAAAATTAATTGCTTATAGAAATTAAAAGAAATTTTAAAATAAATGAAAAGGAAAGGGGAGTCAATCACTTTGGATCTTTGCTTTCCTGGAAATGCTTTAATTTAAAAATGATATATGGTAAAGCTAAGGTTTGCTGTGCAGGGCTGGGTGCTATTTTCTGTTCATAATTATTTTATGAAATAAATGGAGCCTTGGAATCCAATTAATCAAAAGGAAGCAACTTTATATGAGAAAAGACCAAAGTAAAAGTGTAAGGAAATCTTACTGATAATTAAATTAAGGGTTTTTCCTTATTAATGGGATTCCATTATTATTTTATTCAAATTATGTAAAAAAAAAAAAATATATATATATATATATATATATATATATATTCTTTATTATAATAAAATATTTATAAAGAAGAAATTATATAATGTTGTCCAGGTAACAAAGTAAAAATTATGTGTCGTACTTAGGACTCAAATAAAAAAGACTAATAGACAGTTCAAAAAAGAATCAAACTCATAATCTTGTGATTATCAAGTTAACTATTCAATTAACTTGGTTAAGGTAGCCCGGCCAAACCAACTTCATTATACTGTTATCAAAACATGGTGATGATTATTATTCAAATATAAAGAAATAAATTTACATTTTTAGTATAGTGGTAAACGTCTAAATCTGACCTAATAACTAATATCAATTAAGTCACAAAGCTATTAACCCGTAGCTACTACCCGAAAGGGTATTAACAAAGAATAAACTCGTGACCTTGTATGAGAATCATGTTACAAAGTTATTAATTGTTCACAAGTTTTGTGGTCGTAACCTCTATCAATCCTACTGATACGCCAATACAATTATAATTAATCTTTGAGTTAATTTCATTTTTGGTCTTAGAATTATAGGTAACAGTCCACTTTTACAGCACGTTTGGTTCACAGAATGAATTTTGAGGTAATGGGAATGTTATTCCATAAGGAATGGAATAGGCAAGGAATAGAATATGAATTCTATTATATTGTTTGGTTCGCGGAAGGAATAGACTTTAGGAATTATATTACAGTGTTTGGTTGGGTTAAGGAATAGAATGAAATATGTTTTAAAAGACATAAATACCCTTATAAAAATATGTGGTGTTGGTTGTGGTGTTGGTGGTGGTGGTGGTGGCGGCGGTGGTGGTGGTTGAGGCGACAGTGGCGGCGGTGGTAGCAATGGTGGCGGCGGCAATGGCGGCGGTGGTAGCAGTGGTGGCGGTGGTAGCAGTGGCGGTGGTGGTTGTGGTGGCGGTGGTTGCAATTGAGGTGCTGGTGGCGGCGGTGTTAGCAGTGTCAGCGGTGGTTGTGGTGGGGTGGTAGTGGAGACGGCGGCAGTGGTGGCGGTGGTAGGGTATTTTCGATATTATAGTACTAAAGCTATTCTCAAATACTTGGGAATAGCTAATACCAGGGGGTCTCCTATAAATGGCTATTCCCCCTGCAAAGGGAATAGCTCATTCCCGGGAACGCTATTACTTTGAATAAAATGACAAAACAAACAATGAAATAGGTTTATTCGCGGGAACGGTATTCCATTCCCGACCTATTCCATGAACCAAACACGCCATTAGTCCTTTTTTTATTAGAACATCCTCATTTAGTTCTAGTATTATTGTGGCATAACCATTTTTAGTCTTCCTTCAACAAAATTGTTGAAATGTCATTAATACAAAGACATTTCATTCTTTTTTATTCAAAGTAGGTTGAACTGCTACATTTTTTTATGTTTATTTTTTTGAAAAGATTCATAATTAAATACCGAAATGCCCTTATATTTAACGATATTTAAACTGTTTTGTTGATAAAGGATCAAAAATGACATGCAACAATAATATTAAGACCAAAAGTGAATTGTCACATATAAATTTAGAACCAAAAATATAATTAACTCATTAATCATTCACTAATTAATGAATAGCAAACAATGCAACGACAAACCAAATTATAACACCTTAATAGCAGTATTAGATACGCGAAGGGATCTCATTTTAGCCATTAGTTAGGTGACCGAAGTATTCACAGTACAGCACTGTACGTATAATTCCAGTTTCGCAATCCCGTAAATTTTTTTAATCACCAAATTCAACCGCTCAGCCGGGAGACAATTAAGGGCATCCTCAATAGTGAAGTTTTTGGGGTGGTTCTTGAGGTGCGAAGTAAGAGAGAGGAGGAAGGGAGAAGGAAGAGGGAAGAAAAAAAAAAAAAAAAAAAAAAAAAAAGAGGAAAACAGTGGTCTGATAAATAATATAGGTAATGATGTGCTAGCCCGCGCGCGTATTGCACGCGACCGGCTGGGTGCCATTGTGCGCAAAATACGCATTGCTGCGTGTTCATTTTTGCTTTTGTTGTATTGTGGGACATACAAAAAATTCACTCTTTTTGTTGTATCGTGAAATCTACAAAAAACTAGTCACTTTTTACAAGGAGCTCTAATTTTTTCTATCTTCACCTTTTCTCATTCACATCACTTATTTTATTCTTAAAAACTGTGCAAAATCTATAATAAGGATGAACTAATAGCTAGAAGCCTAGAACCTTTAACATTAAACAAACAAAATCAAACACGTGTAGCTTTAACTACATCTCTTACTATATACTATATATATAATGGAGTCAATATAATTAATCACACGTTTGACTGTCAAATGTATCCTATCCTTAAATCACTCTAATAATAAAATAATAATAATTATTATTATTATTATTATTATTGAAAGTCTATAATATCAATCATATATTTCCTCAAAAGAAAAAATCATATATAATAACATAGTTGTATCAAGTAATTGTACTGAAATCAAGCACATTGTACTCGGTTGAACCTACGCGATTCTACTCTCTTTCGGAGAAAGTCACAGGATTGAACTCCGGCGGTGGGATATTAACTCTTTAGATTACAACCATTGTTCTAAAAATCGGGCTAGGCAGCCGTTTAGGTACTGAGTAGGCACTAGGCGCCCTTAGGGTGAGGCGATTTTAGTCTACCGACCGACTAGTTGGCCGACTAGACAACCTCGACACCGAGTTGGTGCTCAACTCGGCCGAGTGGTTTTTTACCTGCCCGGCTACTCCTCTTCTATATTTCTCCAACCATGTATGTACTCAACTAATCATCTAACATATGCATTTGACTAGTTTGGGGGATTATAACAATCTAACAACTCCTAGCCAAGTGAAAATAATATACTCGAATTACTCAACTTCCTGGGCGCTAGGCGTCCCCCAAGTGCCTAACTAGCGTCTAGCGCCTTTTGCAACATTGATTATAACAAATAGAGAAAGTATATTAAACATATACTACCTTATTGTATAAAAATATGTACTTGATGCGATTCAGGTTAACAGATTAATTTTTTTCATAATGCCCTACCCCACGCAACGTGTTAAATAAAATGGCAGGATTGGCAGCCATATTCCCTATGCTCTATTCTGTTCAACATTCTGCTTTTTCTTTGATTATTTAATATTTAATTTTTTCTAAATACAAAAGATATTTTTACAAGGTAGTATATGTTCTATATTTCTCAAACACTTTTCGCTCACAGAATTTAATCCTCACCAGTCACCACCGAGGTTCAAACCTATAATCACCCATTTAAAATAGTATCTCTTAAAATAGTAATCCAGATATCATCACGTACACTGCATAGTAGATAATTATTTAATTAAAATACTTTGATTTAATAATTAATTAATTATAATATGCCATATTCATAAAGAGTAACTTTTTTTTTTTTTAAATATTTCTATTTTTCATAATTTTTGTTTAAGTACTATCTACTTTCTTAATCTCTATTGAAGCACAAAGAATCAATATCCTCATTAGAATTCGAACTTGTGACTCTCCCATCATAGAAGTGTCATTGAGCTATAAGCTACTTAATTCCATTTTCCCTAATTATGGCAAGCAGCCCTAAATACGAGGTTAGTGATATTTATCTTATATTTAACAAAACTTTATTAAAGTGGTCCCTGTTTTGTCCAAACAAAGCTACTCACATAATCTTACCTCATACTAATCACCACACACGTCTCACTTCAAACAAACATAATTTTGTCACATTTTTCAGTCACTGTTCTTCTTCATCATCACTATATATACCCGTCCCATCTCCCCACAATTCCTCAATTGATTTCCAGATCATACTTACAGATCGGACACAAAGACAGAGAGAGAGACAGAGAGATCATCATCAACATATATATACATACTGAAATCTATCATTGGTATATATATATAGAGAGAGAGATCGAGAGTGATCAAGATCGAAATTATGGAAGGCAGTGTTAAGAAACCCTACTTGGTTGTTCTGGCAATACAGTCTATATATGCAGGCATGTTCTTGCTGTCCAAGGTTGCTTTTGACGTTGGGATGAACGCCTCTGTGTTTGTGTTCTACAGACAGGCCGCCGCCACTGTGTTCCTGCTTCCCATCGCTTTGCTTGTCGAACGGTACGATGTTAGTTGTACTGTATATTGTTGTTAGTTAGTTAGTTAGTTGGGTTTATTTGCCAGAGCTGAGTATTATTATCACACATATATAGCTTCATCCTACGTTTGATTTCAGGAAAACTGCGCCCCGCCTCACCTTCACCACTTTCTTCATGATTTTCATGCTCTCTCTCATTGGGTGAGTCAGATTTTAAGCTTCTTGATTTAGTATCGTCCCAAAAAATTGTTTTCTATTATTGCTCCACGGAGGGAGCTAGCTCAGTTGGTCCTAAAGTCTTGCTCCAACGACAGTACGTGTGAGGGTTTGACTTCATTTTACTAAAAATTTCACTGTTGGAATTTACGACCACCTGAGAGTGATCTTAATTCAAGTGAAAAGCAAAAAGTGGTCAGAAATAGCAACAAAGGTTTTTCCGGATACCAAAAGTGGTCGGAACAAGCCTTTCGACTTAATTTAAGATCACTTTCAAGTGGTCGGAAATTCCATAATTTCAGCAGTGTTTGAGGGTTATTGGGAGACATTAGATGTGATGAAAACTCCTTATGTAAAGAGTGTACAGACAAGGGGTGAGAACCAAAGACTAACTACTGGACGATTGGGGATTTACCTACTATACCCACTCTTGGGTAAATGTTTCAGGGGCTTAAAATTAGTCTGACATAAATTGAGAAACGTAATGTATAAAAAAAAATGTTTTTGTTGTTTTTTAAGAATTATTAAGATTGTTGGTGGAATTCTATGTGCAGGATTACGATTAGTTTGAACATCTATGGCGTGGCCTTAAAATATACTTCTGCAACTTTGGCTGCTGCGACTACTAACAGCCTTCCAGTCGTTACTTTCCTCCTTGCCCTTTTGTTCAGGTAATTAAATAATTATGGACCAAAGATTAGATTTACTCCGATCCGTTCAATTTTACTGGAGATTCAGGTGTCCAGGTTTACAGCAGCATATTATAACTTTTAATTTTGACCTAATTAAAAGTATATATATATTCCTTTCAAAAAACAAAAAGTATGTATGAAAAAAAAAAAAAAGTATATGTTGCGGGCATACCTCCAGTCTTCTAGGTCCAACGAATAACTATAATTCTATCCACTTTATATACTTGTACTCCATAGCTTATGTGTTGGAACATTCTTCTTGTCATTTCATGTATAAAAGAAAAAATGAAAAACAAAAAACAAAAACAAAGAAACTTATCTATTGTATATCTAATGCTCCTTATAAGTCAATTATTCTAATAAAAATGTAGGTTAGTTGGAATACTGGTAAAAAGGGTTCAATTTTGTGACCATTGATTCATTTGAAATATTATTCCATCATATCAATCCATCACCTCCGTAATAGTTAGCATAAAGTTACATTATATAGGTATGCAATTAAGCATAAAATTTGATTAACATACAAAAAGTATAGTAGATCTTAATTAGTCCCAAGATTAGCTTAATTTTGAGGTTTTGTTTTTAAATGTTGAATAATAAAGAATGTAAAAGAGATTCAAGAATCCACAGCACCACCGACAGACTAATTAAGATAGACAAATAGAGAAAACATGGGGAAAAAAAATTAGTTTGGGTGGCGGAATATATATCGTCGTCATGACATTATTGTTGTGAAATAGACAAATGAATTAATGGGTGTTGTAATTTTGGTAAAGATTAAAGGTTCATCATTTGTCATGTCAGTTAATTACAATGTCATTTCCATCATGCTCCCACTGCACGCTATATATCTATCTTCAAACAAAACAACATAAATTATTGTCATGGAATTGGTTTACATACAATGTCAAAGTTACTTTAGACTTTATTGGGTTTTTGTTTTTTTGAATTAATTAAATTGTTATGGAATGGAACAGGATGGAAAGGGTGGAGTTGCGATCGGTTGGTGGAATAGTGAAGGTGTTGGGCATAGGTCTATGCATGGGAGGAGCAGCCACCATTGCCTTCTACAGAGGACCAACCATGAGGCTGTTGATGCACCACCACCTTATCAATCACCATGACCAACACCTTCAAGTTAACCCTTCTTCTGGCCAAGCATGGGTGAAGGGTGTATTTCTCATGCTCCTTGCCAACACTTGCTGGAGCTTATGGCTTGTCGTGCAGGTAACTACTGATAGATATATTAGAAACGGGTTCGGAACAAACAGACCCAAAAAGACAGGTCAAGACAACGTACTCGAGCCAACCTTTAAGAATGGCCCCGAGGCCGATTCCAACCGTCATGGCCAAGGTCCTGCCATAACAGTATAGTAGGAGGCGTACCATATTCAAACTAATCTCCGTTCAACCAGGCTGGTCCAATTAAGGGGCAAAGTGCTGGTCAAATTGTTTTTTTCATACGAGAGGGGATTTGAACTCCCAACCTCTCTTAAGGGATGAGAGTAAACGGTCACTCACGCCAACCAATTTGGTTACTATATTGCATGCATGGTGGGTTCAACTTTAATTTAATTTGTAAAGAATGTATGTATGTGCAGGGCCATGTTCTGAAAGCTTACCCTTCCAAGCTTCTGTGCACAACTCTTCAATGCTTTAGCAGCACCATTCAATCATTCGTTGTAGCCATTGCTTTGGTGAGAGACCCCAGGGAGTGGCAGCTCGGATGGAATGTCAAACTACTATCTGTTGCTTATTGTGTAAGTAACAACGCCATTCAAAAATAAAAAAAAATCTTTCAAAGTTAATCATATATAGTGCAGTTAATTAAACTGGAAAATTATTATGTGACAGGGAATTGTAGTGACTGGGGTTACGTTTTACTTGCAAGCTTGGGTGGTTGAGAAGAAAGGTCCACTTTTCCTAGCAATGACTACACCTTTGGCATTGATCATCACCATTGCTACATCGGCTTTGCTTTTGGGAGAGATTATTAGTTTGGGAAGGTAATTAATTACTCCCTAATTCCTAATACTAATCACTCATTCATTTTCCCCTATTTACCAATCATTATTACACGGACCATGGTCCACACAGCTGTGTGAACCATAAATAAAAAATACATTTTTAATATACTAAAACTACATTATTTATGTACATAAAATACATTTTTTGAAAGTAGATTAATTTATATACTATCAAATAATATACATAAAAAAATAATATACTTTTAATATATTAAAAATGTACCTTATATCCCTATCTCAAAAAAAAAAAAAAAAAAAAAAAAAAAAAAACCTTATATTCATGATCGACACATTTATATGACCAAAGTCCACACAATAATTTGCCCCTATTTACCTTTTTACATAAACGTAGCCCAAATCAATACCTTTCTTAAGCCCAAAACCCATTAGCTCCATATAAATCCCCAAGAGTATCACAATTTGTATATATTAACTTGGGCCAAATTTTATAACTGAATTCCAAACTAAATACGAAATTTTAAATACTTGGTCAAATTCTGTATTACTAATTTAACTAATAAATTTATTAATTTAAAATTTGAAATATAATATTAAATTAAATTTCATTATAAAATTATCATGCGCAAAAGAATTATTTATTTGATTTATCCAGTCAACCTCAGCTTAAATTGAGATTTTTAATTGAAAATTTCGGATTTTTGTGTATATTTTTTCAAATCTGTTTAGTTCAATAAAATTGTTTTCCTACTTATAACTTTTAACCATTCCTTTAATTTTCAAGGTAATGTTATACATTGTTTTGGAATATCAACAAATCATTTAATTTGATTATAATGACAGCATATTGGGAGGAGTGTTGCTGGTTGGAGGACTATACAGTGTTTTATGGGGAAAGAACAGAGAGCACAAAATCGAAACAGATATCACTTTCGTAGATGACATTGAGAAGGCAGCAAGCGAGCCAACGAAGGCGGTAGAGATCACAGCAGTCAAAAACCCCGCACCTTAATCAAGGAACTCAAATGTCCAGAATGCCTAAAATTATATTGCAGATAACAATATATATAACCATGAAAATTTGTTTCATAAAACCGGTTGAAGAAATGAATTCGCACTAGAATAGTAGTGAAATCTTTAGATAATTATGTGGATGGTCCGAATTGGGCCCAGTTGAGCCAGCAATGTAATGTTTATATAATTATTTGATGAATATATAGTTATGTTATAAAAAAAGAAAAATTGTTGAATATATGTTCATTAGAGGTGGCCACGAGCCGGTTCAAAGTCAAACAAATTTTAAATTTACTTGAATAAAAGCAAGTCTGGACTTCAAGGGACTGGAGCTGAGCTTAGTCCAAACCTGAACAGGCTTATAAAAGGTCGGCTCAAAGCCTATAAAAGATAATTCAGAGCCCAGCTCGAAATCGATCTAGATCTCTAACCGATCCAAGTCCGGACAAATTTTAGCATGGACTTTATAAATTATATAATGCACTTTATAATACTTATAAGTTACTCCGTATTAAATAACATGGGATACTGTCACTTGTCCAAAAGACCAAGGAGGCCTGGGTATCCTGAAATTAGAAGTAATGAATAGATCCCTTCTAACACGCAAATTATGCCTTGTAAACGTGTTCACCATGAATGGTGAACACGGGTCCAAACGGTGTCCTTTTTACGAGAAATAAAAAATTTAGTTAATGTGCTATTAACGGTGCGCGTTTGTTCAGATTATGAATTTTCTGTTATGAGATTATGAATATACTGTAAATTCATAATTTCATAACAGAAAATTTATAATCGCATAAAAGAAAAACATATAATAAATTATGAATTTTCTGTTATGAGATTATGAATTTAGTTCATACCAGAAAATTCATAATCTCATACCAGAAAATTCATAATCTCATAACAGAAAATTCGTAATTTCATAACTGCACATTCATAATTTATAAATGTTGAAGAAACTTGCGCGAAGAAGAAGTGAAACCGCGAAATGTGAAAATGAAAAAGAAAAGTCGCACGGTTAATTAAAAAAAAAAAAAAATAACGGTGCACCGTTACCATTGGGACCGTGTTCACCATCCATGGTGAACACGGTTCCATGGCATAACGATTGCTTCTAACGATGCTAGGCTGGAGGTTGCTTACCGATCAGAATTGCCTATCGATGAGAATTATGAGGGTCAAGTACACGGACCATAGAAGTGATCCTGCAACATGGCAGCATAAACAGAACAGCTCCAATGCCTGGAGAGGCATTCTGAAAGTAGTACCAAACCTCATAAAGGGGAGCAATTCAAGAAGCTTGTAAGGAACGGTAGGAATGAATACTCTGTTCTGGCTGGGCCCTTAGCTTGGATTTGGTCCAAGTTCCACAATCTAATCCCTCCAGAATTAAGTGAACGGATTGCTGCCATATCTGTTTGTGAAGAAGAAGAGCAGAAGGACAGGATGAGACAAATTCTCAGTATCCTCTGTGACATATATAGCTACAAACAGAGCAATTTCTACCGATTCAAGATCATGGAATAACATATGGAGGATCAAAGTCCATAGCCGAATTCAAACCTTCCTTTGGCTAGCAGGACATGAGCGGCTGATCGATGTCGAATGTAAAAAGGCAAAAACGAGGGTTCACGACCACCAGTGCATGCGGTCATGGAAATGAAACTACGGATACGGAGCATATATATGCTTCCACACTGCCCTCAAGGCTCAAGCTACAACACTATGATCGGGATTCAGTGCTACTCAAGGTAGTATGTTTTAAAGACTGGCTTCATAATGGTGTTCACCAAGGGTAATCAACAACACAGCCAAAGCGTTCTGGTCCTTGTGACGACTCGGTGGTTATGGAAGTGGCGCAACGGAAAGGATACGAATATTGGCCAGCTGCAAATAATTATCCAAAATACTTTTTATAAACAGATACGGATGGAGTAATAAATTAAAGCACAAACACAAGTTACCTCCCACTTGCCATTTCAACACGATTGAAGCTTGGATTCAGAAAATTAATTAATTAATTAAATGATGCTGTGAGCTATATATAATTATATATACAGACTACCTGCATGGGCAGATCAACTGGTCATAGAGGTAAAACTTTGAAAGAATGACCAAGGATTGAGTCTCACCAGCGACAGTGTGGGAACTACCTCTCAGAGTAAAGGGGTTCTTTGTGCGTGGTACTGGTTCATGTTCAGACCTTTTGGAGGAATTATATATACAGACTTATTTATACATGTCGTGCGATTAGACGGTAATGAGCTGTATATTCCTTTAAAAGCTGTTTATGGAATGCCCGTAAGCACCGAAAGAAATAACGCACCACTTCTAAGGACTTCTATAACTTATTTACATAAATTTATAATTTTAAATAAAATATCTTAAATTTAATTCTTTTCTTCAAATGTATTATAAAAAAAATTTGCATTCAAAAAAAGTATTATAAAAAAAATTTAAAAATAATAATAACAAAGACACTTACCATATCTAGATTGCATATAGTCCAATGGTATCCGGTTGCTTTCCCAAGTGAGAGGTGATAGGTTCAAGCCTTGATGGAGGTGATTATTAGTTTTGGGTGTTCCCCTTCCTTTGTAATAAAAAAAAAAAAAAGAACATAGGATTTTGTTTCTATATATAGTATAGATTACTAATTATTTTAATAAGCTTATTATTATTAAAGAGTTAATACCCAAAATCGTCCCCGATTATAGTGAATTTTCTCAATTTCGTCCTAAACGACTTTGGTGACCTAATATCGTCCCAGACTTTTGTGTTTCGCTCAATTTAGTCCCAGATTTTTGTGTTTTTGCTCAATTTAGTCCTTCATTTGTTATTCTATCCATTTGGTGTTAAATAAATAGACAATTCAATAATTTTAATATTGGCATCTCTTTACTCATAGACATGTGAACTGCGAAATCCCCTTTTTTTTTTTACGAATTACTCCTAAAATTGCGAATATAAAATTTGATTTGCAGGTTCGGGAGTAAATCTGGGTGTAATTCGTACAAGAAAGAGGAATTTCGCACTTCACAAGTTGAAAGTAAAGAGAGATCAATATTGACATTACTGAATTGTCCCTTAATTTAACACAAATTTGATGGAATAACAAATGGAGGACTAAATTGAGCGAAACACAAAAGTCTGTGACGATATTAGGTCACCAAAGTCGTTTAGGACGAAATTGAGAAAAACCACTATAGTCGAGGACGATTTTGGGTATTAACTCTATTATTAAATTTGGGCGATTAATTATTAATATTCAATTTGGTCCTTTTAAATTATTGATACTACCGATTGTTTTCCATTTTCACTTTTTAAGGAAATAATCATATTATTAATAAAAGTTTGTGCTGGAAATTACACATGAGAATTTTGTTTGTATTAATAGTATAAATTTTTTTAATTTCATTAGATTTTAAATAAATGTTACCATAATTATATGTAGTAATTTGTCATATATAAATTTCTTACTTTAGTAATATTAATCATATGATAATCTCTTCTATTAATAAAAAATAAAATCCTCCCTGCATAACACAAAGAGAACAATAAAAAACACTATCAGTACTCAATACTTAAAACACAACCCACAATATATTTAAAAAAAAAAAAATTGAATCGAACAAATAATCCATACTCTAAAAACAAAAAATATAAGAATATTGGTTTTTTTTTATATAAGAATTAAATTACAGGAAATCAAGTTTAGGTCAATAAAAGCAAAATATACGAAATGGTACTTTCAAGCATGCACATACATGGATATTCTAATCTACTGGCCTTCAATTCTTTCTCAGAATCAGAAGAAGTGTCTTCATCAGATGAAAAGGAACCCGTTTTCCACCACATTCTTCTGAATCTTGCCTTCGACATTTTTTTTCTCTCTATAACTTGTTTTAAAGCTGAATCTTTTTTTTTTTTTTTTTTTTTTGCGTTGGCCTTCTCAACCGCGGCTATCGCTTCTCTCTTAACTATAAAGTCACCAAAAAACAGTGAACTCGGGTAGTATCCCCTACTGACTCTGTAACCATTGCATCGCACAAATAACAAAAACTATGCTTGGAAATAAAATATATAAACAATATTTCAAAATTATTGTTTTAAACAAAGCAATAATACGAAAAAAAATACATATAGTACAAAATTTTAAAAACAAAACAATAACTAAAAACTACGGAAGATCAATTATAAACAAAAATAATACGAAAAAATACTTTTCTAAAAAAATTAAACCTGGAGTGGCATCAACCCGGACAAATCCATAATAAAGAATGTAAATGAAAAAATAATAATTTTTTTCACAGAGATAAAAATAGCTAGAAGAGAATTTGTACCTTTAATGCTTTGAAATATGCATATTAGTTTGAGTGGCTATTGAACTACAATGATTAATAAATTGATAAGTGGGTAATGAGAGAGTCATCTACAAGGGAAAAAAGGGACCAACGGTAAAATGAAGACTCATAATTTTTTTAGTCATCAACTCATTGTATTTATAGGTGAAAAATATGAGAATTATAAATTTGTAAGATTTTTCAAAAGGAAAGTGTATTTATTTATTTAAGGTATAGCCATAATCATTTCATTATATTGATATTCATAATCAAGCCATTATATTAATATTAATATTCCTAGTTAATTTTATTCCTAATTAATTCATAACATTGATATTACTGACTATTCATTATAGTTATTAGGACTCTATGTATCTGAGTCTGTTTAGAACTTTTTATCCTTGTCACACTGTGACTCTCTACTTCTTATCCTTGTCACACTGTGACTCTCTATTGTATATATTCACATCATCTGATCTCATTGTAATTAAATTCAGAAAATACAATACAATCAGTTCTCATCTGGTATCAGTTAGCTAGGGTTCCTGATAATTATTATTGCCATGAATAATTGTTATTGGCATGCATAATTATTATTGCCATTGTTGGTGAATGTTAAGAGCAGCACGTGGGCCAAAGTAAAGTGAAGCAAAGAAATCTTCGAAATCCGCAAGCTTAGCAATTTCTTCGACGACAGTGAATTTCTTCGCCAGCAAGGTTATTCCACGACAGCAAGCTTAGCAATTTTTGAAATCATGCAACAACGCGGTGGCAGTTGGAATTGTGATAGTCCGCATCGAAGTCAACAACGTGGCAATAGTGGCTTTAATGTTCAATGTCAAATTTGTAATGGTTTCG